TATAGCGACGCTATCGATCGGGATCAGCTGGATGGGCAGTGGGTAGGCTGACTAGCACTGTCAGGAGGTTGAATGAGCTGGACGAGTTGCCCAGCTCACAAACCGAGTCCAATGGGCGGCGCCAAGAAGGCATTTATGAGCCTAATTGCCCCAATGGCAAGTTCGGTGCGAAGGGCCGCGCCAAACGACATACACCCTTTCTTCAGGGTGTAGGTTTAGGCGACAGTCACAAAATGGGGTATGCACAGTTAGTTCCAATGAAGACCACTTCCACCTCCACCAACTAGTTAATTGTTGAGGTGTCTGAAACACTCAGCCGAGCTGATATAGGTTCTATACATTAAAGATTCCGTTTCATTCTGAAATGTTAGGAAGGGACAAGAAGAAAAAAAGGAAAACACATAGTGTAAACACAAAATGTGCACCGCTATAATGCTTCAGTATCAAAGAATTGATACAAAGTTTTCACAACGTGAGTAACCCTCACTTTTCCTGCGAACTTCTTCAACCTCAAGACTACCTGTTTGCAAGCAAACTAGTCAAAAGAGCATGTCCCTTCCTATATTTTTCCAAGTATTGCAAATGTCGAGGAGCTGCAAAGTTGTGAAATCTGATGGGGAGCGAATCTATTCATATGAAATACCATGCGATCACCCTTGTCAGTCTACGAGATTGGATGAAATTAAGCGCATTTCATAGATGCACAGTTGAGAAATGATCAAACAGAATAACTAAAAGACTTGTGAGGTAGACGAACTGGTGTAGAACTGTTTATTGTTACCGCAAGGGGGGTTTATATATTATTGTTATCATTGATTACTTCATCTTCTTCTCCTTATCCCTTCATTCGCCACTGCTTCATGATCGCAGCAGTCCATCACCTAAATCATCATTTCACCCCCCTACAAAAGGAGGGTGCTAAGTGGGTTGGGGGGACCAAGCGACGCCGCAGGCGGCGCGGCACCCTGCGCTCTCCAGTGAGATAGTAGAGAAGGAAGCCCGAAACGGTGTTTAGGGACGTTTCATAGTTTTTTATGTTGTAACTGTGTATTTTTCACCTAATTTTAGGAAGGGGGGGG